AGAATGCTCAACATCACTAATCATTAGAGAAATGCAATTCAAAACTACAATGAGGTATCACCTCACACCGGTCAGAATGGCCATCATCAAAAAATCTACAAACAATAAATGCTGGAGAGGGTGTGGAGAAAAGGGAAGCCTCTTGCACTGTTGGTGGGAATGTAAATTGATACAGCCAATGGAGAACAGTATGGAGGTTCCTTAAAAACTAAAACTAGAACTACCATATGACAGCAATCCCACTACTGGGCATATACCCTGAGAAAACCATAATTCAAAGAGTCATGTACCACCATGTTCATTGCAGCTCTATTTACAATAGCCAGGACGTGGAAGCAACCTAAGTGTCCATCAACAGATGAATGGATAAAGATGTGGCACAGATATACAATGGAATATTACTCAGCCATAAAAAGAAACGAAATTGAGCTATTTGTAATGAGGTAGATGGACCTAGAGTCTGTCATACAGAGTGAAGTAAGTCAGAAAGAGAAAAACAAATACCGTATGCTAACACATATATATGGAATCTAAAAAAAAAAAAAAAATGGTTCTGAAGAACCTAGGGGCAGGTCAGGAATAAAGACACAGATGTAGAGAATGGACTTGAGGGCACGGGGAGGGAGAAGGGTAAGCTGGGACAAAGTGAGAGAGTGGCATGGACATATATACACTACCAAATGTAAAATAGATAGCTAGTGGGAAGCAGCCGCATAGCACAGGGAGATCAGCTCTGTGCTTTGTGACCACCTAGAGGGGTGGGATAGGGAGGGTGGGAGGGAGGGAGACGCAAGAGGGAAGAGATATGGGGACATATGTATATGTATAGCTGATTCACTTTGTTATAAGGCAGAAACTAACACACCATTGTAAAGCAATTATACTCCAATAAAGATGTTTTTTTTTAAAAAAACGGCATTTCACTGCCTTCCAGCCACCTTTGTTTCTGATGAGAAGTCAACCATTAATTGTGTTGTTGCCGTAAATATGATGGATCATTTTTTTCTTTTGCTGCTTGCAAGATCATCTCTTTTCTTTGGTTGTCAGTGTATAACTGTGATGTCTCGGTATGGTTCTCTTTGTGTCTATGTTATGCTGGGTGCATTCCATTTTCTGATTGTGCTAGTGTGTTTGGGCTGCTATAACAAAATATCATAAACTGGGTGGCTTCTAAGCAACAGAAATTTAGTTCCCACTGTTCTGAAGGCTGGCTAGCCCAAGATCACAGTGCCGGCAGATTTGGTGTCTGGTGAGAACCCGCTTCATTGATGGCCATCGTTTTGCTCGAGCCTCACGTGGTGGAAGAGAGGAGACAGCTCTCTCAGGCTTCTTTTATAAGGGCACTAATTCTTATTCTTTTCCAGATAAATAAAAGTGGGGGAATTTTTTTCTATCCAATTTACATGAGGTTCCACTCTCATGGCCTAATCGTTTCCCAAATGTTCCACTTCCTAATTAGCTTGGGCACATTGGGCATCAGGTTTCAACACATGCCTTTTGGGGGAACACCCAAAATGCTATTCAGACCACAGCATTGACCCTTTAAGTTAATGTCATTCACTAACACTGAGGAATTTTCAACTATTTTTTCTTCAAATAGTTTTTCTGTGTCTTTTCTTCTTTCCTCTTTTTTGGGACTCCTATTTCATTCATATTTGAACATTTTACATCGTTTGTCAGGTCTCTAAGTCTCTGTTCATTTTTCTTAACTCTTTTTGCTCTCTCTTTTTTTTTTTTTTTGATTCCATAACTTTTATTGCTCTATCTGCAAATTCACAGCATCTTTCTTCTGCCATCTCAAATCTGTTGTTGAGCCTATCTACTAAATTTTCAACCTCAGTTTTTGTAGTTTTCAACTCTAGAAATTCCACTTGATTCTTCTTTTTTTTTTCTGCGGTACGCAGTCCTCTCACTGTTGTGGCCTCTCCCGTTGCAGAGCACAGGCTCCGGACGCACAGGCTCAGCGGCCATGGCTCACGGGCCCAGCCGCTCCGCGGTATGTGGGATCTTCCCGGACTGGGGCACGAACCCGTGTCCCCTGCATCGGCAGGCGGACTCTCAACCACTGCGCCACCAGGGAAGCCCTTGATTCTTCTTTACAACTTCCATTTTTCTGTTGAGATTCCCTTATTGTTGACACATTCTTAACATAAATTCCTTTAATTCTTTGAGTATATTTTATTTTAATTTCTAGAACATAACTATAGGAGCTGCTTTGAAGTTTCTGTCTGCTAAATCCAGCATCTGGGTCCATGTGGCATCATAATGTTGCTTTTTTTCTGGTCAGAGCTTCTTGTTTCTTTGTGTGTCTAGTAATTTCTAGCTGAAAATTGGACATTGCCGTGAATTGTTTTATATCTGAATTCTGTTTCATTTGGCTGAAAGGTGTGTTTTGCTTTGTTAACTTTTCTGCACTTGAATTGCAGAGGTGGTCTCCTCCATGGTGTGCAGCCATTGATATCACCGTGTAGTTTTTACTTTTAGTAATTTACTTTGTTTTTTAGTCTGGCTCCCTAAGGGTATTCCCTTTTTGTGCACTATTTAATTTGGAGAGAGGTTATGCTCAGCAACCTTGAACATGTGAGCCTTCTACCTTCCGCTGCCCAAGCTGTGTATGGCCGGAGGAACAAATTCAAATCTACAGTAAGTCCTTAGGTTTCCTTTGGTTTTCATTTTTTGCTGGACTCTTTCTGGTCTCTGTGACTCGTGTGTTTTTTTGTTGTTTTTTTTTTTTGCGGTACACGGGCCTCTCACTGTTGCGGCCTCTCCCGTTGTGGAGCACAGGCTCCGGACGCTCAGGCTCAGCGGCCATGGCTCACGGGCGCAGCCGCTCCACGGCATGTGGGGTCCTCCCTGACCGGGGCACGAACCCGTGTCCCCTGCAGCGGCAGGCGGACCCTCAACCACTGCGCCACCAGGGAAGCCCTCGTGTGTATTTTAGGAGTCAGTGAGGGACACGTGGGGAGTTTATTATTTCAGCCCTTTGGGGGCTCTCTTAACTTACTTCCAGGATTTACCCCCATTACATTCCTGGGTGATCTGCAGGCCACTCTGGACAGAAGTTATATTCTCAAGCCAGAAAAGCTGCAGTTTTTCACTTTGGTCTTGAACTGATTCCATGACCTTTTAACCCATAAACGGCAGGTTTTCACCTCCCCGTTCCAGATCAGATCTGTCACCTCCACCTGGCTGTTGGTTTTCACTAACAGCCCTCAAACAAGTCCATCATTCCCACGAGTAGAGCTGTGGTTCTCATCACCCAATCTAAGGCGTGGGAGCGAGGGATAGAAACTCCACGCAAAAAGACCACAGACTCATGGCCATTCTGACGCAAGAGCAGTTTTTCAAGATTAAACACTTCTCAATTTGTGACGCAAGAGCAGTTTTTCAAGATTAAACACTTCTCAATTTGTTATTCTGCCTTTGGTCATGTTCCAGTGCCTTTAAATGGTTGGTTTTAACAACTTTATCTGGTTTTTATACTTGTTTTTTTCAGGGGGAAATTGACCAGCTTCTCATACCACCATTCCTAAGGGAATCTTGGACTGGATTATTTCAATGTTTCTTCCTTTCAAATATTCTATTGCCCACAGCTTTTGATTTTTTCAGAAATGTACTGATGTCAGAAGGCTGGTGCAAACACATAGAAGGATAGCTCCAAATTTTGCATAAATCACTTTAAATGTGCAAAAATAAATGGGCGAGCCAGCCAGGCTGAACACCGAGCTGGGGGTTTCACAGCTGGGGTTTAATCTCAGCGCAGCCCGGGGAGCCCTCTCCAGGGTGCTCTAACAAATGTTTCTGCTAAGGACACCCCTAGCCTCACCTAACACATCTCGCTGCTGCCCACCTTCTGCCCTGCCTCACCCCCTACCTCCCCCTGCCTTTTGCATGGATTCTGTGACTCTGTCAGGATGAAAGTAGCAGAAAGTAACTTTCACTTCTGCTTAAACAACTGAAACTCAAGAGCAAGGTCATTTCCTTGTTCTTTTCTGAGTGGCTGCTGGAATACATTTTCGGGTTTTTTTCCGACCCCTGTCTGTTGGGGGTGGACAGAAAGGTGAAGGGTTTTTTTTTCCCCAGATCATGTAAAAACCAGCTTACCTGAACTCCCTGCCCTGCAAACTTCTCACATCCCCTCTCACCCTCACCTTGAATAGATCAGTCTGAGTTTGAGGAAATGGATTTTCTCTTTAGAAAGGTAGATTTCCTGCTCCCTGCTGTATTCTCTGTATCCTTGGGTCCAAGTCTATAAAAGTTCTTCAAAACCCACAGATTCAGACCCCACAGATTAAAAAAAAAATTAGATGTAATTCAGGCAGCGTCACTGGACCCTTGGTTAGTAAAAGACTCAACCCAGGTGTCTGCCTCTGAGAATTTGCAGGATCCTTAGTGATAAACCATGTTCAAGGCCGTCCCCTTGGTAACATCCCCCAATAATCCCTGATGGAGTTATTGTTCCTGCCTCTGTTCTAATAATGTGCCTTGTTGAGGCGTCTATGGCTGCACTTACCACATCCCATGATACTTGTCTGTCTACCAGACCCCTTCCCAGGCTCCTTAGACTGAGTCCCTCAGAGGAGAGCCGTGCCTATTATATCTGTATCCCCAGCCTCTGGTGTGTGCTTAGAGCGAACCATCACCAAAGTCTGTTGTGTTAACTGAATTGAAATAACAAGACTGAATCATCTCATCTCAAACAGTAACTTTTAAATCATAAGCTTGGGAGTCCTTGAACTTGTGTTTAAATGTTTAGGTCCAACTCTCAGGTGTCAGGAAGTGAATACAAAAATAATAGCACCTGTGATTCACTGAGCACAGCTGGTTCTGGGCCCTGTTCTGGGCCCTTTGCTCTCAAGGATAGAAGAAGACAAAGCAGTTTTTTTAAAAGATCAGATTTGGGACTTAGATTAGGCATAGTCACATCAGCTACCAGTTATTTGGAGCTCACTACGTGCTAAGTACTGTAATAGAGACTTTTTATACATTAATCCATTTATTTTCACAAAAAACCTTTTGGGAGAAATGAAGCAGACTGTTTGCAAGGAGCCTTAGAACCCACGAACTCCATGTTTCTGCTGCTGATGCCATGAACATCTGTCAAAAAGCTCTTTCCTACCGGGAACTCGCAGAGAATTACTGTCTCAGTCCTAAAATCCAAGGAGAGAAACTCCATAAGGAAGCTGAAATTCTGGACTGTGGTCCCAGGGCAGGAGTAGAAGAAGATCTGTCTAAATTCTATCCCTGCCGCACCCTCACTGAGGTTCCCAGACATAAAGGCAGGAGAGGAAGCCACCCATTGGCTCCCTTTTGTCTGTGCGTCACAAAGCAGGTGTCCAGTGGCTCACCATGTCTGGCTGGACCAGCAAAGTCTCCAGAGGTCATCTCAGCAACCTTCTTGGTCCCATCGGTCCCTCTGCCAGTGTGGTACAGGACAGCACCTCACCACTCTGGGTGTTAGGGTCCTTCCCCATCACCTGCATCATTCTCGGGTTCTCTGAGTTTTCACAGCTGAGTGAAATAGCACAATTGAAGAGGCTCTGAGATCAAAATCAAGGACTGGCTAGGGGGCTAGAAACGAGGGAATTAGCTGATTCTGTGCCGCCTCTCACTCATTCTGTCGTTTGTGCTCTTAGTATCCCATGGGCTAGGTATTGTCAGGACTATCTGGAAGACAAGAAAAAACCAGCAAGCCTGGGAGAATGGCCACCCTGCCCACCCAGACGGCACAAGGCAGCAGAGCCCAAGCTCCTTCTTGCCTTGAAGACAAACACTGCAAAGCAGAGCGAAATACCTTGCCGAGTTAGCTTGGAGGTTACTAACTCTGCCAGGCTTTGCTGCAGGAAAAACAACATCTGTGTTGTTCAATCAAAACCCCATGAGAAAATTTCCCAGTGGCCGAGGGGCATTGTTACCGATGTGGCCCAGGCCCAGAGAAAGACCAGCTGCTTGTGGGCCTTCCTCGCAGGCTTTTCCTGGACCCAGTGAGCCCACGGAAGCTTTTGAAGGGCTTGGCGGGAGGGGCGGGGCTCCTTGGGGGCAGCTGTGACCACAGACCGGGGAGCCTGCCACCTCGGCCGGGTGATTGCCATCGTCAGCAGGAAGCTACGAGCTACTGAACGGATTGAGACACCTGGGATGGGCTCCTGTTTTGGGATTGCTTCCGAGCTGCTGGCTGTAGCTGGAAGGACACTGCCCCACAAGGCGCGGGGATCTGAAGAGCTATGGTGAGCGGCCGTTGAGCATTGCCAAGGTAAGATGCATCTTCTGCCTTCCCGACCGTCTCATTTCCTCAAATGGTGCCAACAGTGCCCGGAGGCCTGTGGGTGGGAGACCGGGCAGGAACATTGCTATGGGGGTTATGGGCGGAGAGAGAAGACATTCTTAGGATCCGAGCCGCAGCTATGAACAGATTGCCCTGTTGTTTGTTCATTTCTGTTTTAGAGAGTTGTTTGATTTATAAAAGTTCATCCATCCAGGGTAGATTCTGTTTCTCAGGCTTTCTAAGCTGGAAAAGGTGGTAAATGTGCCACAGAGGAAAGAGAGGAGGAGGCTGGACCGGGTGGTGGCGAGATGCGTGGGCACTCACGGCAGCTGTGGGCTCCAGGCAAGAGCCTCCCTATAAGCGAGAGTAAAGGTACCACGGTGCAGAGCTGATGGAGGCCAGCGGTGACGCATGGGAGCGTCTGGCTCAAGGTCAACGATTGGCTGTTGCTTTTGTTTCATTTTGGGTTTTTTTCTTTTTTTTAAATAAGGTTTTCCATTTTTCAGACATGTGGGGGTAGGGTGATGGAATAGGTTTAACGATGGCCTTTTGGGCTAAGAGATCTATTTGGCCAAGTGTGAAAAGGAAAGAACAGTTGACAACATATTTTGAAAGGATTTTAAACATTCTAGGATTTTGACAACTTTTCTAGTCATTTCCTAACTGTGTTCACCGCTGTGTTTAGCCTCAACTGCCCACATTACCAATGAACTAAAGAGTTATCACCGCGTTTCCGTAGTTATAGAGAATTCCATATAATATATGTTGATACTCCTCCCTCCCGGAAGGGAGCTTGATTCCCCTCAGCTTAAGTGAGAACTGGACTTAGTAGAGTGTATGGAAAGCGAAAAACGGTAACACTATAGTGGAGAATCCTGGCCACAAAGTTAACATCTCCAGGGATAAGTCATATTGTATTTATTGCGTAACTTTGTCTGCAAGGAGGAAAGTACTTCACCTGTGTGCTATTCTTCCCCCAAACCCATAATCCCAGTCTAGTCATAAGAAAACATCAGACAAACCCAAATTGAGGGACAGTCTACAGACTATTTGACCTTCTAGATTGTCAAGGTCATGACAAATGAGTAAAGATGGGGAAACCGTCACACATCAGAGGAGAGGAAGGAGACATGACAACTAAATCCAGAATTCATATCCGGGCTGGATTGGATTCCAGACCAACAACAACCTCAAAGTCATCAGTGAAAAATAGGTGAAGTCTAAATAAAGTCTGGAGTCTAATGACTATCATTGTGCCTTTCTTAGTTCTGACAAATGTACCATGGTTAGGAAAGAAGCCAACATTAGGGGAAGCTGGGTGAAGGATGTATGGGAAGTCTCTATCCTCTTGGATAGAAGTCTCTATCGCCTTGGAGCTCCCCACCTTATTCCCAGAAAGCTCCTTATTTCCCTCTCTTCATGGTATTTCTCATGATTCATTTATTTTTTCATGCAGCACACATTTTTTGAGCCCTCACTCTGTGTCAGGGGACTTAGGGCCGACACCCCACCTCTGTCTCCTAGCAGAGCTCACTGCGCTGGTTCAGGCTCCTGGGCCCCCAGCACATGCCTAGCTACCCACAACTGGCCCCTCACCAGTGAGGAAGTAGGAGGCCGAGCATGGAGGCCAGGGAGGGCCCAGACCCAGCATGGAATACCCGCTGAACTCTGCCATCCTGAACTCAGCCATCCCCACAGAATCTGTGGTCAGCCGAGCAGCAGTGAGCTGTGCTGGCCGACGCTCTCCCGTGAGCGGAGCATCTCCAGAGGGATGCAGAGCGGAACTGGGACTCTCGAAGAGCCAGCTCCTGCACTGCCCTAGAATCTGCAGTATCCAGATGAGACCACTAGGGGCAGCATCCTTGCTTGTAAGGGGCAGGTGTTTGGAAAGGTACCAGGGAGACAGAGAAACCTGACCTCCCCAACACACACACACACACACACACACGCACGCACGCACGCACGCACGCACGCACGCACACCCCACAGGCCCGGCAGAGCAGGTGTGCCCTTGTTTGAAGGTGATATCTCAGCCAGATCAGAGAAACGCTGCGGAAGCAGATGAGAAAGAAGAAAGGATTATGAAGCTGTGGGGTGATAGCGTTTAGATGAAAATCACATCACTTAGATGAAGACCAAAATTAAAGAGCGGAGATTACCTTCCCTGTCATGTCCCCTGCTCCCTCCCTGCTCCTGGACCTCCTCCACAGGTCCGCACTCCTGCTGGGCCCCCCACCCCTCATCCAGGCAAGTCCCGCTTGTCCTGATTCTCAGGATCAGAAGACCAATGTCTTCTCTTCTGTCACCAGTGCCCAGACCCATCCCTGTGTCCCCATGGCCTCCAGCACATGCTTAGGGCTATTTGCTTGCTGGTATGCTGCCCCTCTGGACCTGGGCTCCTCCAGAACAGGGACCAGGCCATTCCTCCCTTCCCTCTGAGTCCCAGCACCCAGAACGTGCCCAGCACAGGGTGGATTCCCTGTGGAGTGGTTCTTGAGGGACAGAAACAAGGACACGTTCTTGAAGGCAAATAAGCTTAAGACATGAGGAAGAAAGCTGGAAGGGGGAAAAGCATGTGAGATTTCACGATCACCCTTAGTCACAGTGGACTCCGGGACCATGGCCACACCGGGGCTTTAACGGGGGCCCTTGCAGAAGGAGATGGGGTGTCACTAGGTCTTCAGCATGTTCTGCTCCTGCAAGGCAGAGTGGACCAGAGGAAGGTGCTGGACCTTGGGGTCAGCCAATCCTGCACTGGGACCTGGTTCTGCCACTTATGGGGGATCTGGGAGGGTTGAGCAAATGACCTAGCTCTCTGTAAAGGGGAAACAGTTGCACCCAGCTCCAGGTACAGAAGAGAGAACTAAATTGAACAAGATGATTGGAGCATGGAGGCTCGGCCATGGCCCCTCAGCTCCCCATGGGCCACTGTGTGGCTTGTGCATGCCCCCTCACCAAAGGCCTGATGCTTCCCAAAACCATGGGGGTAGAAAGAGATTATCTCAGGTGCCTTGTCAAGGCCACTCTCTGCTGACCTCTTTGCACATCTTGTTACCTGGGCTGCTGCGCCAGGACCAGGGTGAGGCAAGTGGAGCTCCGAGGGTACAGAATTTAAAGAGGCTCACCCTCTCAGGATCGCTCAGGTGTAGGGGATGGTCGAATATATTCACATGTCTGCACGGATATGAGATGCTCTGTGTTTAATGGATTAAGTCAGGAGTTCTGACCTCGAGACCACAGACCCCTCTTAAGTTTCACGGGACCTGTGAGCTCCCTGAACTCTGTGGATGCGTGAATTCTTCTACAAAGAGCATTTATGGCTTTCATCAGATTCCCAAAAGGATCTGTCCACCCCAAAATATTTGGACTCACCAAGTCCGATGGTTAGGAAGGATAATTTAATTTTATCTCAGTGTGCTGTATGTACAAGGCAGGGGAAGGGACTTGGGCATAGGAGAGAGACAAAGCAGCCGTGGCCGAGGGGTCCTACAGCTGAGAGGTTGGATGCCTGGGCTTCCCAAGGGCCCAAGTTCAAGGTTCAGTCCTGCCACTTCCTGGCTGTCGCACCTCAGGCATGTCACCAAATGTCTTCCTGAAATAACAACTGTTTGACCTCACGCTATACTGGCAGCCTCACCTATCTCAGTAGGGGACTTATACCCTTAAGTCTCATTTCTTTATTTGTTGATAATAGCACATCACAGTGTTATAAGAATTAAACTCCAAAGCCCTCATTCTTTGGTGAATTGAAGCTGAGGAGGACACAGTATTTCCATCTAGATTCTATTCAGGGCTTCATGGAAGAATCAATTCTCCGTGTAAGAGGAGTCCTTGTAATTTGAAAAGGCACATTTCACATTTGTAACTTCTTAGGTTTATTTGTACGCACAAGATTTATCTTGAAATCTTGAAAAGGGAGAGTGTGATTTGGTTTCTCAAAAGAGGAAATGGGTTTAATAAGATTGAGAAACACGAATCTAGGTGCCTTGGGTGCTCCCCCTGTGTCGAGCTTATTGGGCCGAGAGCTGTGTGTCTGGATCTCAGTGCCTGGGCTGTTCAGGGAACCACATTCCTGAATCAGGCCCGTGCACCCAGCTTGGCAAGGACACACTGTGCTTGGCTCATACTAAAGGCGCCTGTAAGAAACAAGGCAGGCCCTTCACTGTGGCATCATTGCTGCACCGCTGTTGAGACCGCCGCCCACCACGGCACTCAGCACCTCCCTAAAAGGAGCCTCGGGAGAATTCCTCTCAGACTCCAGACCCGGGAGACACCAACTCTTCCAACGGGTCATTTCCCACCCGCTGCTTCAGACTCCAGGACACTTAGAGCCGAATTTCCATCTAACCATGTTAGCAGCTGGGGAGCCCCATCTCAGGGTCTGTATTTCTGTGTACCTGCCTTACTGTCAAATTTGTTTTCCTGCTCTAACTTACCCTTTGGTCTGATTTCTTTGTCTACTTTTCTCTCCTGTTATTTCATATTTATTTTTATAAGTGGACCCAAATCTTTTTGGAAACATCAGGAAATAAATAAATAAGTAAACAAAAACAGGACAGTGTTCTGGAAAGAGCCTGATGCATGGTGAGGGTACTCAATAAGAATTAGCTCCCTTTCTGTGTACAAAGCAGAGACCAACCTATTGGGAGATATCCAGCTGTGAGTCTATTATAGTTAGACAAATAGCCTGTTTCAACTGTCTGTTTTTACAGTTATTCTAGCCTCTATTGTTACAGAGATTATATAAAATTATTTCATGGTAAGATTCTTTTTATTCCTACCATTTCTAAAGTAAATGGGACTT